CAGACAGCCTGGGAGCCTAAGGGCAGGAGGAACAGGGTTGGCAGCCCAGCTATGGACTGGGAATGGAGCCTCGCAGCAGTATGGGGCCAAGCTGAAGTCCTTGGCAGTATGGGTAGGGATGGGGCTGGAGTTTCTTGGCACCTCCCAGGAGTGTGGGGACATAGCACCATGGCAGCCTGCTAGAGTGCAGGGCTGGCTGGAGCCCTGCAGCAGTCCACTGGAGGGTGGGGCTGGGGCCACAGCACCAAGGCTGCCAACTAGGTTGGGGATAAAGAAGAGGGCAAGGCAGGGTGCTTGATGGGGCAGCCTGCCAGTGGCAGGGGGTGGGGGAGGCTCAGGGCTAGTGGGAAGAGACCATCCCTGGTCTGGCAAAGTCTCTCATTCAGGACTGGTCAGGTCCCAGTGGTGCTGGACCAGGGAAGTCCCACCTGTATTACAGATTTTCTAAACAAGCACTGGGTCCTACATTCCTTGTTCATGAAAAATATTCCACTGAAATGAAGGGTTTTTTGTCTAAGCAAGGGCTGCAAGATGAGGCCCTTTGAGTCAACTATTGATAAGATTCCTGCTTTGCTTTTTCTCTGCCACCTCAGCTATATGTTCCTGTATTAGCATAATAATTAAGTTTAGTAGAGGCAGCATAAGAGGGAGCGAGAACATTATAACATTTGCCAGTTTGCGAGAAATAATCCCAAAATGTAAGACTATAATCTTACTAAATCGTAGGATTCCAATACCTACTTATGTTCTCAAGTCTTCTTTCACCTCTCCATATTTACTATATAGTATTTACTGTAATTTTCTGGTATTTACTATAATTTTCACTCTTGCTAAGCTGCCCATCTTTCAATTTGTTAACCTTAAGTTTGTTAGTCACATATCCCACCAAAGCTACTCCAGCTCAGCTGAGGAAGTGGATTTTACCCACAGAAGCTCATGATACTATATGGGTTTTTTTGTTAGTATCTAAGGGTATGTCTACACTACCCTCCTAGTTCGAACTAGGAGGGTAGTGTAGACATACCCAGAGAGAAGCTGCCCATCTTTCAATTTGTTAACCTTAAGTTTGTTAGTCACATATCCCACCAAAGCTACTCCAGCTCAGCTGAGGAAGTGGATTTTACCCACAGAAGCTCATGATACTATATGGGTTTTTTTGTTAGTATCTAAGGGTATGTCTACACTACCCTCCTAGTTCGAACTAGGAGGGTAGTGTAGACATACCCAGAGAGCAAATGAAGCCCGGGATTTGAATTTCCC